TTTGATTGGACGAACATTTCTTGGTCCTACGCCATTCCACAGAATATATAAATACAGATAAATACATTTAGACCACTTAACTTAATGTTTGCTATCGGGATGTGAAGAGACTTTCAACCAGCATAACAAAAAATGTTTCTGAAGATAATCACCTATTGCACCTTTAAGTGTACTTAAGAGTTTTAATAATATTGTGTCATGCTTTAAAGAAGACACACTTACTTGTATGTGTTAACTAACATACTTAAACACATGTAAATGGCTTGATTATAATTTCAACTGTATTGTGTTATTTGATATTGTAATTTAAGTATTTAAAATATACTAAATTACAAATTCATCATTATAATTGTGTAATTACAATATATATTTAAATACATAACCTACAAGTTTCAATAGAAATGACATTAAAGTATATTTTAGTTTACCATAAATGCTTGACAGTACATTCAACTGTTCACTTTAGCCATATTTCAAATATAGTAGAAGTAATTAAGAAATGACATATATGTATATGTAAGTCCTACTCAAAAAACAAAATAAAATAGTTCAAATATTTGTATTTGTAAATATTTATATTAATATATATATTTAAACTATATACATTTTTCATTTTATTGTAAATAACATTCAATTAAGTTTTGAACATATATATTATTATATTAATATTATTATTATGATTTGTAATAAGTACATACAGTGGTGTGAAAAAGTGTTGGTCCTGATTTCTTATTTTTTTGCATGTTTGTCACACTTTAATGTTTCAGATCATCAAACAAATTTAAATATTAGTAAAAGATAACACAAGTGAACACAACATGCACTTTGTCAGGCAGGTCCTATTTAAGAGATTTCTTGATTGCGAACAGGTGTGGCAGTAATCAGGCCTGGGTGTGGCTAGAGAAATTGAACTCAGGTGTGATAAACCACAGTTTTAAAAGGGGGGCAAACACTTCTTCACACAGGGCCATGTAGTTTTGGATTTTGTTTTCCCTTAATAATAAAAACCTTAATTTAAAAACTGCATGTTGTGTTTACTTGTATTATCTTTGACTAATATTTAAATTTGTTTGATGATCTGAAACATTGTATTTATGCAAATATGCAAAAAAATAAGAAATCAGGAAGGGGGCCAACACTTTTTCACACCACTGTATGTGCTATATGCTAAAATGTGCTTCTCTTTCACAAGGGAAGTTTTGCAACAACAGGCATTAAACATTAAAAATAAAACCAATTTAAAATAAATAAAAAATATTAATAATAATAGAACAGTAAAAATAAACGAAATAATGTGGCAAAAAAAAGTAACTTACATACCGAATACGGTATGAGAGTGTGAAGACTGTTTTGGAGAGTGTATTTGATTTACCTCAGTTAGCTCAGTTATTAAGCTGCCCACACAATATAATATGACTTTAAAAACCTGTGATGTAGCGTTATGCCAGCCTACACCGTTACTCTGGAAATAGCTTGTTAATGGCTGCTTGCTAAAGTGACATGTTGGAACCTGCAAAGCTGCTGTCACATTACTGAAAAATGTGGTTAAGTTAGTATCGCTGCTTGTAGTTACTCTCCATCATTGATGAGGCACAGTGCTCATGGAGGCAATGCCAGTTTGACTTTGGCTTGCCTCATTGCCCGCTTCCATTTCTTCCAATAATTTCTACACGTTTGGGGATAAATAAAAATGGCACAACCAAATTAAAATGTCTGTAAGCATTAAGTTGTCAGTTTGTACAGAGACTATCACTGTTTGTGCAGCAAGTTGCAAAACTTTAGAGCCAGAGGACCAGTGATCAATCTGATAAAATCACATATCAAACTATGAATACATGCTCCATTTCATCCCACAAGCACATACATAGATGTTGGGCTGAGTAGTCAATGAGTTCTACAACTATCCCATACTTGTGCAGTCTAGTCCCAGATCACGTGTGATTGTTCAGTGGTACTGACGACAGCAGGAGGAAAATTCCTTCATCCACAAACTGTGTCCCGGTTTATTTGCTTCTCATTTGTTTCGAATGCCATCCTGTTACGACCAAATCTATTTGTAATTATGAGAAAATACAGTGTGCAATTTGCATTCACAAAGCATGTTTTAAGCAAACTGCATGGCTGCAACTTCTGAGATAATCTGTGTTTGATTAGTGTGGGAGAAAATAATTAAATGTAGTGACTAACCTAACTATATTCAGCACATCACTTCAGTTGTGTGGGACCCTGGATACTGCACGCGTGTCGTTTACACTAGGTAAACATTTATTTATTGGCTAGTAGTCAACTGTTCTTCTGGAAAACTAGACGACTACTAAAATTAAGTAGTCATACAAGTCCTAAAACACATTTGGTTTGGTTACTCCAACCCTCACCCTAGATTAACTTCAATCCTTTTGATAATGAATAATGCTATGTTTCACAAATACCCTTGCCTTGCGGTAGGACCTCGAAATTACCCAATGGGAGTTTCAAACTCTGGTAACCTATCCACCATCTCCGACCCAAATTCATTCCAATTACACATTCCAATCACTTTCCAAAAACTGACCCTGAACAAATATTTCCAGATAATTCTCTTCCAGATATTTACTTACCCAAGGTCATTTTCCTAATCATCTGCAGACCTGCTTATATCAAAAAGACAAAATGAAAATATAACTATCCTATCTTTTAAATGGTTTCCATCCTTTAGCTAGAGACATTCCAGCATTTTAATTCGGATTACGAAGATTATTCCCCTCAGTCCAATTTACCCTTCCGATTGGAGATAATGTCTGTGGGAGCAGAATACACTCATAAATGAGGGAATGAGCCTTTTAATCCAGTAGCCGTAGTCAAGTTTGGGAGATAACTGGGTTGTTACAGTCGGAGATACGGGCAGATAAAGAGGCTGAGAGAAAGGCAGAAATTATTGGGCTGACGTATTTGGCGTAATTTGAGGAATGGCAACATACAGTGTGGGACGTACCGGCTTGCTGAAGCTATATGAACATGTGGGTGGGTGGGTGATTGGTTGGCTGTGTGATTGGCCTCCTGTGGCGAGGCAATGCCGAGCCCAGAGTAATGGTTTAATCAGTGACCAGCAGTATGGAGCTATGTGTTTGCTCCACGGGAATGCTGCGGAAACAAGACTCCATGCTGGCACACTCTAATCCCACTTCGCCTCTTTATATGTGTGTGTGTCATGTAGGCACAAGGGAATGTGTCTGTTAGAATGCACACCAGAACAGCCTTGTATGAAGCATGTTTACCTCAGCAAATCTCCCAATCATCTGAACAGGCATGAACCCTTAAATCTACACATTTATGGCAAGATTACGCAATCCATCCCCGCGCTGATTTCGCCACACTTGCTTGCTGTAGTGAGCCTGTGTGACAGCTACACGACTGTGTGATGTATGATGCAGTTACATATGTCCACATTCCATGGCGGCCACTAAGTGCTCAGGGTGTAAGAGAACAGGACAAGGATTACAAAACCGTTGAGTGGGAAACCAGCTTAGAGAGTCACAAGCATGTTGTTAAGTGCACTGGGATGAATGGTTGACATTAGCAGACAAAAGGAGCATGCTTTTAGACCCTGTTCTGAGTAACGTCTGACTTTCACATTGACCTCGGAGTGAAAAGGGGTGGCTCAGAATCAGAGAAATTTACATTGTGGTCCTTCGTCTCTCAAGCAAAGCAATGGAAAGGCAATTTTGTGTCCGAAGCTGAATGGATGTACTTGTTCCATTTGTCCATGTAACAGAGTCTGCACATTACTGTTACTTACAGAAGCGTGCAACGACTAAGCAGGTTTTTCAAATTGTCGGCTTTTTCATGAAAAAAGTTCCCTCCGTTTGATTGCAAAGTCTTTGAAGCTGCAAGAGCTGAAGGAATGAATTTCAGGAGTACTGAGTGCTTCATTGATCAGTTTTTCCTGTGCATGGAACTCTGTGGGTCAGATCCACCCCCTCATCTTTCAGCACAATGGACAGCTCCACAGGTTCCCCCTCTCTATTTGTCAGCACCATGGAGAGCTCCACTGCCTGGTTTTTGTCCTTCTGTGAGTGGAGGCGGCTGGCGGCCATTTTACGTGGCTGGATCTTCAAACTCTTTGAAAGCTCTTGTTCAGATAAAGTATGCCACTCTGTGCCACTCTCAGGCCCTCTCAGCCAGGCACAATGATTAACCCTACGGCACCTACAGCCCTCTTAATGTGTCTCTCTCTCTCTCTTAAATTGAGTGTAAATGGCAGACGCCATGTGTGGGCAGAAAGGGCCGGCGGTGGGTCTAGGGTCGGATCTCTCCTCTAGGTGCTGGTTCTGCTCAGGCGTTTGGTTATTGGCTCCCGAAGCGATTTGGACACATGGTAGCTGATGTTCTATTCTGGAGCCTTGCATTCGGAAAGCTGTGTGAAGGAGTGGGAGGATGTTAACAGAGTGTGTACGTAACTCTCACAGTTGGTTTGAGAGAGAGGGTAAATAGTTTGTTCCTCATGACTATGAAGGCTGAAAATATGATCACTGGCTGTGAAAAACCCTTGTCCATTTATTAATTATTTCTTTCTTTTCCCTTTAAAGGTTTTTTTGTGGGTCATAAAAGTTTGCTGTAATAAACAGCTCCCTATGCTGTAAGAGTTATTCTTAATTAGCAGGTTTCTTCATGACCTGCTTATTACATCAGTAATCTATGCAAGCGCTAGGCTCATTTTAAAATAGACATGTAGTCAAATTTGACCCTGTTTATTTTATCAGTAACTTATTATATTATAAGTTACTGAACTTATTGTGCACGATTCATCACTTGTTATTTTCTGCCTCTCTTTCTTTGTAAACCCCAACTTTCTATCCTTGTGCTATGTAAAATCCACACTTAATGATTCAGTCAATTCATATGTATAAAATCAGGTCCCATTCCCACAAAATATCCTGTTTCACTCAGAATTATGCTAAATTACAGTAGTAAATTGGGTTGTGAAGAGTTCATGCTGAATGTGTTTCTCTTTCCTCATGCAGCGTTAAGTCGCTCTGCAATGCCATTTGGTCTGATGAGGAGGGAGTTGGCATGTGAGGGTTACCCCATCGAGCTCCGCTGCCCCGGCAGTGATGTCATCATGATCGAGACAGCCAACTATGGTCGCACGGATGACAAGATCTGTGACGCCGACCCCTTTCAGATGGAGAATGTACAGTGCTATCTGCCAGACGCCTTCAAGATCATGTCACAAAGGTACATCGGAACAGTGTTCCTTTTTCTGTCTATTTTAGTCATAGTTTTTGTCTTTTGATGATCAAAGTTCCTTTAAATTTAAACAACATTTTGGCATATTCATGCATTTTAGTTATTTTTTTCCCCTCTGAATAGTGGCAGCCAAAAAAGATGGCATTTTAGCTGATAATAATGAGTAAAATGTGTCAAACAAACAGAGCAAACAAATATCACACTTCTCTTCAACATATCATTGGGGTTAGTATATGTGTACAGTATATTATATTTGCATGAAATGAATACTTTTATTCAGTGTTAAATTAATCAAGAATGACAGAAAAAAAAGTATTGGATTCGTATTCCAGATAAATGTTGTTCTTTTGTAGTTTCCATTCACCAAAAAAAAAGAAAAAAAAGAAATGAAAACATACATAGACATACATACAGAAATAAGTAAGTAAATAAATACATGCATATATACATACTGAAAAGAATGTATCATGGTTTCCACAATAATAATAATTAAATATCAAACTGTTATCAACATTGATAATAATAAGAAATGTTTCTTGAGCAGTTAATCCGCATGTTATAATGATTTCTGAAGGATCATGTGACACTGAAGACTGGTGTAATGATGCTGAAAATTCAGCTTTGCATCAGGAATAAATTACATTTTAAAATATGTCAAAATAGAAAATATTTGTATTTATTTTTTGGTGAGCATAAGACACTTACATTATTATATATTTTTTTTTTAACAGTAAATGTGTGTATTGTAATCAACATTACATTTTAATTAAAACCTTTCTGATTATCATCATGATACATATTTTTGGTCTTGTCTTCATTATGGGGGGTTTTCAACATTAACAGTGCATAGGAGCGAAAGGGTGGTATAAATGTTACAAATGATTCTGACTGTTCATGTCACTGTTTTGTTTTGCGTGCACTGTGTATTCCAGAGTGTATTGATACGGTTGAGTGATTAAGTGACTGTTTTGTGTGTGTGTTTGAATAATGTGTGTATAACTGTCTCTGTGTGTGTGTGTGTGTACTCCGCCTGCAGTTGCATTCCCTGTCTGTGCTCAGCATTTGCTTCCTCTGAGACGAGATCAATGATTCCCTCTTCTAGCTATCCATCAGCCTTGTAATAGAGAAAGAGAGAGAGAGAGAGAGAGAGAGAGAGAGAGAGAGGGAACCGAGGAGGCATGTGGGAGGGATGAGTAGATTGAGAGAGGGATTGGACTGGGAATGACGCTGCACTAGTAGAGAGATGATGAGGGGATATATAGAAAGAGGGATTTGAAAAGAGAAGTGTCTCTGCATCTGTTTGAGGCAGAATAAATCTTTACTGTGCTTGATCTGTGTTCGCATTTTATACCAATAACAGCCCTGCATTCATACATTTATCTGCTTTAGTCGGAGGCAATAGCTCTAAGTAGGTTTGAGCTGGAGGAATAGTCTGCTGCCTCCGCACCCCTCCGACTGACGCTATCTGTCATATGATCACACCGGGTGAGAAATTATTACCGTGCTTGCCAAGGCTCATGCTTAGGACCAGAAATTTTACAAACCCCTAACCTTGAGTGTTACATTTTCGACATGCGGCCTGTGCCACAGCATTTGTGCTACAAACCTGAATCATAATTGGAGTCTGTCTTTTTGAGGAGAGTTTGATATTACTTTTCTAAGCTATCAGAGTTTCGGTTTTAGATTAAGACAGTAGGTGCATCCGAAATCGCATACTGTCTGAGTAGGTATTACATTTGAATTTGAAATTACTTCACGACCATTACAAAAGTGCATTCTATACAGTATGAATATGGGTAGCATGAATTAATTGATGTTACTGTCACTTTACCTACAATCATCAGTTGCGTCACTTCACTGTCATTCATAAATCCTCTCCCATTCCCTCATTCCGACTACTCTTTTTTGAATACTATGAATTTGGACATACTACTCGTCTCGCATGCTGTTTTTCATATACTATAAAGTAGGGAAGTATGCGATTTTAGACACAGCGAGTGACTTCAACAGCGTACAATCACCTAGAATCATGCTACAAAAAAACACTCAGCATATCAGCATACTTATAGCATAGCAATCGTTTAAGTAGTCGTCAAGCGGTATGGAAAGATTTAATTCTACAAACCTTGCAAACTTCCAGTTATTTGATACCCTGAAATGTAGAGGGTTTGCGTGTAGAAAGTATGCAAATCTGCGCATCTCTGACTTACTAATGTTGTGTAATGGTCTGTCTGTGCAAAGGCCACATGAATGGGAAATGGTCAAGAGAGCAACTTTAAATCCTAAATATTAAACCGTTCTGAATTATTTCTGATTGGCTGCTACTGTATGTCGTAATAATATGTTCTCTTTGTATAAATAGTGTTACATGGGGTTTATTTAATAAAATGTCCCTACAGTGTTTACATTGCATTTCTAATGAGTTATGATTTTATGATTTTATTAATTGAATTATGATTTTATAATTTATTTTTTAATGTAACATAAGTATGCAAATCTGCGCATCTCTGACTTACTAATGTTGTGTAATGGTCTGTCTGTGCAAAGGTCACATGAATGGGAAATGGTCAAGAGAGCAACTTTAAATCCTAAATATTAAACCGTTCTGAATTATTTCTGATTGGCTGCTACTGTATGTCGTAATAATATGTTCTCTTTGTATAAATAGTGTTACATGGGGTTTATTTAATAAAATGTCCTTACAGTGTTTACATTGCATTTCTATCTTTATTGAGTTATGATTTTATGATTTTATTAATTGAATTATGATTTTATAATGTATTTTTTAATGTAATATATTCCTGTGTTGGCAAAGCTGAATTTTCAGCATCATTACTTCAGTCTTCAGTGTGACATGATCTTTCAGAAATCATTCTAATATGCTGATTTGGCGCTCAAGAAACATTTCTAATTATTATTAATGTTGAAAACAGTTGTGCTGCTTAATACTTTTGTGGAAACCACAATACATTTGTTTTCAGGATTGCTTGATGAACAGAAATGTCAAACTAACAGCATTTATTTGAAACAGAAATCTTTTGTAAGATTAAAAATGTCTTTACTGTCAACTTCTATCGGTATGTTTTCCAGTGTTAGGGTCAACTGCTATAGAATTAGAACCTGAATGTGGTAGAAAGAGAAAAACCGGCTACCATTGAAATACTTTAAATGTGTTAAATGTACGCTAAATGTGTCTCACTTTGAAGGCTGTGCACTCGGGAGGTAGCATTTTTCGGCCACTTACATCACTGAGGCTGTCTAATTTCAGAAAAGTAACCATTATAAAATTGATAGTTATTCCTCGTAAGGCGTAAATTATTGTAATTTGTTGATACTTTGGAATGTATTGGTTACTTTTCTGAAATGAGACAGCCTTAATGATATATGCAGCCCACAAATGTGACCTCAGGAGGGCGCAGCCTTCAAAATGAGACACAGTGAATGACTGTGATACAAAGGACCTCAGTAGGAGGCAACACAAACAGAAATACATGAGGAAAAAACCTCACTGTGGTTTAGAGAAAAGTGACTTGTGCAGGTGTAGTGCGCAAACTCAGAATACCTCAGCTAAAATGATGTATGTGTGTGTGTTTTAGGGATGTTTAGATAACTATAAAAAGTGTATCGAAATTATTGAATAGATCTGTTTAAATATTTGTTTAGTTTGATATATTATATTATATTATATTATTAAAGTTTGAGAACCCCTGATATAGACAGTCTTTCAAATTTGTATACAGTAGATTAACGTTTAATTTATATGGTTGTGTTCCCTTTCAGTCGGTTACTCTCGATGTCATGTCGGAGGACCGACGAATTGGGATCTCGCTTAGAGGGACCAATCTACTTTGAGTGTAAACTACGGTGGAGCGGTTGGTTGCGATGCAGTTGTGTCCTATTACCGCCTCCAACCGGCAGGGAGAACCGTGCCTCCCCTCCCAGGTCCGGCGTGGTCTTTGGGTCGTGCGATGTCCAATATGGTGGTCCGGGAGCGCCATTTCTGGCTGTGACTGGCTGACATGAGGTCAGTGTTACACACACACCAGACCCCGCCTTGGACCGGCTACGAGCCCCGGGCCGGGTCCCTGCATTTTTCTGCGCTGGCCCACTGCGGGTACGTCTGTAGTGCCGTTGATGCCACTAACGCGGTGTCTGGGAGCCTGGCTTGAGCTACCCAGCCCGTCTCGATGTCTCCTTCAAACCGTCAGGCTCGGCCAAACGATTCAGTCGCCCGGCGTCCCCCCAAGTTCAGTGGCATCCGCTTCACAACAGTGAAGGCGGCCAATGGTCCTGTCTTGCGGCCATAGGGCGCAGTCCTACTGGCGAAGGATGCAATAGAGCCAGTTCCTCCAGCCGATATGAAGATGGGGTTTTACAGCTCCTACTTCATTGTACCCAAGAAAAGCGGTGGGTTACGACCAATCTTGGACCTGCGTGTCTTGAGCCGGGCCCTTCACCGGTTACCGTTCAAGATGTTGACGCAGGAACACATCTTCGGGTGCATCCGTCCCCGAGATTGGTTTACAGCAGTCAACCTGAAGGACGCGTACTTCATGTGTCGATCCTTTCGCACCACAGACCATTGCTGTGATTCGCGTCCGAAGGACGAGCATATCAGTATGAGGTCCTGCCCTCCGGGCTGTCCCTGTTGCCCCGTGTCTTCACGTAAGTTGCAGAGGTACCCCTTGTTCCCT